TTGCGTAAATTACGTTTAGTCGAAAGTCTAGACGTTGAAATGTTTCACTTACAAAAATCATTTATGTAATAAAAAAAAGTACTATGTTACTTCTCTGTGATAATAACCTCACTATGGTTCAATAGTTTGAAAAGGATAGACTTCAAAACATCAAATTGAAGCTGTAACCACTATTGTTACTTAAGATGCCAAATCATCATTATTCATCATGAACAATAGTCCTCGACTGGTCATAGGTCTCTCCTTAGATTCCAGATAATAACGCCATAATAAATTCATTCTTCAGTCAATGAACTTGTTTTATGAGGTCTATTTTTGTGATGACCACGCTGATTAATCAGGCTATCGTCATTCTGTACCTTTTCCAAATAATAAACCAATCGTAACTGGCAGGCATTTTCTACTGATAAACACACATTTGCTATTTATAAAAGGAAACAGGTGTGAATATATATATATATATATATACACCTATTTCCTTTTATAAATAGCAAATGTATACAATAAACTTTTAATAAAATTTATAAATTTTTTATTATATAGGCTTTCGATTATTTCAAAATTAGATAGCTTCTGTAATGGGAACACTCAAATACTCCGAAATATTTTATTCCCAAATTTGATTTTCCGATTTAAAAAAAACGAATTTCATAATACCTGAGAATTTTTACCTGAGAATATTTTTTTTGCCGTTCGAAGAATCAAATGCTCGATGGGTTCTCGGTTCGAAAAACAACATTCTGATTTTCAATTCTTCAAATAAACTGGTAAGACACTGATAATTAAGATTCTAATTCCGATTCAGTTAGTTTATTATTCAGTTACGCATATACATATATTGAAAAGCTATAAGTCAAGTTTAATGTAATTTAAAAACGTCTACGTTGTTATTAATATTTGTGTATATTTTTATTTGTTTTCTTCTCCGTATGTATACCTGCGTCGGGCACCATCTACTGTCATTGAATGCTTTGGGTTAGGTTAAGTTGAAACTGTGACCATTAAAACGAGCACCAGATCCCCTCTATTGTTGGTGAATCATTCGTATAAAGTTAGGATAAAACTGTGACCAGCGAAGGAAAATATTTTTATTCGGAAGAAACAAAGAATTCAAATTTTTGATGTTTCGAATTAACATTAAGTGGACTTTTTGTTATTCGATCTCTTGAAACTCAGTATTTTGAGCATAGTAATTATAAAAGTTAGGCATATTGATATATTTGAATTATGAAAATAGGATGAATGATTAATCGGAGTTGTTATTTTGGTGTTTGAAATGATGAAATTTAAATAGATGTCTAAAATCCGTATTTTGAAATTCGTATTTGTGACTGACGGAATAAAAAATTTCGTATTTGTGTAGTGTAATCTTCTGTAATAGTAAAAGTCTAAATTTGCTATGTAACAAAAAAAAACTAAATATATAAAAAAATATTATCATTATCGATAATGCGACGTACGGCGTTAGTTCGACAAGTTAAAAGAGCAAAGAAAGGGCTCACGCGCACCTCCGGTCTAAAGACAGTCTTCGAAACAATGTAACATTATTCATTTGTTAATTCACTGGAATATGTTATTGCACAGGTCACAGAGGAATTTAGTTTTCAGAAGGAGACATCAGGATTTCAAGTCTAGTTGATTAATGCTTTTATGAGTATTAGTATGGTGGCAATCATACTTCGCGATTTTTTGGAGAGGAGCTTCGCGAGAAGATTCCTTATCAATATAGCATACTCCAGCTGCAATCTGATCAATGATTTATATAGGTACATATAAGTTTAGTGTCAATATGCTCAGAATTGATGGTGGGTCTCATAACCAAGTCAACCATGCAATTAGCTTTATTAACTGTCTCGTCTATGTGTTGATTAAGATGGAGCTTTATGTCCAAATGGCACCCTGAGATCTCTCACCGCAGCATTTAATTTTGAGTATGCATTTGGAATTACATTTTTATTTTTTTATATACTTAATTTAGATACGCGAAATTGTAATTAATTTTCATTGCAACTCCTTGTACATTTACAACATACGATATAAACCATCGCAATCGATCCCCGTGAATACCATTGAAGTTATTAGTCTAATTAAACTCCTAATGTCACTATCTAAATCATTTCAAGTCATCGAAATGATGATTCATATCTCATGTTGTAAATGTACAAGGAGTTGCAATGAAAATTAATTAAAATGAGGGCTGCAAAATTTGCTTTTGCCAAATGTTTGAGAATTTCATTTTGTTTGATGACTTGAAACAAAATGACAAACATTTGGCAAAAGCAAATTTTGCAGCCCTCATTTTATATTACCTAATACTTAATTATTTTTCTTGTTTGCACCCTCGTAGCCAACTTGAAATAGTTGAGGTATTTACATGAGTGTAGGAGTTTGATTAGGTTCACAAGTTTCTTTTTAGTACTTTTCTTTAGCATTTCATCAGTTTAATTTTAGTTTGAAAGTTTTTATTTAAAGTTTAAAGTTTTTATTAATAAAAAAACAATAAAATTTACAAGGAGATTAAACTGTAATTATCTTTTCGAACAAATACTAGGAACTAAAATAAATGTTATAACAATGTAATATGGCAATTTCGTGGTATAAAATCAACGTCTGTTAGAATAAACAATCAAGTTTTGGGATTTAATTAATGACGAATATGTATGTATACAATGGATATCACCACTAGTTATTTTAATTTTCTAACAGATGACAAATCACCTAGGTAAGTACTCAAAACCAACTCGATAGGTGCCTGAAACAAGACCGCAATAGTTATGACTATTGCGGTCTTGTTTTGACTATTGCGGTTTAATCGACTCGATTTCTCGATTAAACCTATTTCATAATCTACGGACCATATTACACATTATAATTTTTTTTACAATTTATTATGAAAAATGCCTGATTAAGCAAAAGCACTATAAGTATTGCCTCGTTATTCCCATTTGCATCATACAAATTTTGTTTTTAAATGATCGTTCTATGTGCAATGATAACAAAAGGTTTTTAATCTCCTAAAAGTAACAGCCGTTCCGGCTCTGTTCCCCGAAATTAACTTTGCATACCGATATACAATAATCATTTCTGTACAAATATTTTAGACTTTCACTAGTAATAGTAATTATATTTTCTTTCATAAAATAAAAATATATGTTGACTGATTTTAATAAACAATCAACCTATCACCTACCTATCTAACTATTAACCTATCTATTTACTTTTTTCACCTATCTCATAGAATATCTCACACACACATATACATATATATAAGTATATATCTGCCTGTATGGCCGCTCACTACTACGCTGAGTGTTGTGGGTCCGATCCCCATATGGGACGACACTTACTGTGTGATTCAGAAATTGTTATTCTTCCTTGATTTATTCCTAGCGCGGGAGTTGTCTTTTTAACTAAAATCTAAATGTATGTATATATGTATATATATATATATATATATATATATATATATATATATATATATATATATATATATATATATATATGTATATATATATATATATATATATATATATATATATATATATACACCTATTTCCTTTTATAAATAGCAAATGTGTGTTTATCAGTAGAAAATGCCTGCCAGATACGATTGGTTTATTATTTGGCAAAGGTACAGAATGCAAGGTGCTCTACGTGCATCGGGCAGACTTAGTGGGACTGATATAATAAGTTAAACTTTCTTAACAGTTTATACTTACCGCTTCACTACTGTTGCAATAGTGTGTCTGTCTGTGGCATCGTAGCTCCCAAACGGGTGAATCGATTTTGATTTTTTTTTTTGTTTGAAAGGTGAATTAGTCGGGAGTGTTCTTAGCTATGTTTGATGAAAATCGGACCAGGATGGCCGCCGGCACAAAATGGCAGATTATATATTTTTTCACCACTTCCTCAATCTGGGTATTAAATGAAAGGGCTTGACTAGTAGAATACTACACACTATGACAAATCGAAGAGGTGTGTCGTTCTTTTTTATTATTTTAATTTATAGCTTATAAGAGCAAAATTTCATAACTTGATATATCCATATACACACACTAGTATGACATAGAAGAGCCGTATCTACTAATGAGACATTGGATCTAGACTTGTATATAATTAAAGGTTTTGAAATTCTCTGAGGATCTGCACTGAAATATTCATTACTATAAAAATTATTAAAACTTTTGCCCGATGTCGTTGACTTTTTTTACACCAGATGTTTGTTGACTTATAACACTAATTTATAATAAAGCAATATTCGCCAAAAATATTTATATTTATAGTTTTCATCGAAACATTATTGCTCCTCTAATCGTTAATTATACAAGTACTACGTATATAAGAAATCACAATCAAGAATTTCCTGAAGGAATTTGCCAATCTACATCATTTATATTATGACCAAGAAAAATAATCATACAGGCCATTACGTTCATAACTGCTGTTTTTATTTATTTGACCTGTTATGCATTTACTGCCAAGTTTATTGACAGAAACGTCGTAAAGTTCCATAATTTTAGCTTAATCAAGTATGTTTATTTTATAAGAAATGTGAACTTTTCGGGTCGTTGAGGCACATGTCACGAGACAATCAGAAATTCACAAGAATTATTGAATTACTTTATTTATTTAATATAAGATTTAGATTTAAATCAATGGATAAACCAAGGAGTTTCTCTGTTTTATTATATAAAGAACTTTAACAGGGTTGTCCAATTTCGATAAACAAAAATCATAGGGGTATCTTAAGGGTTTACCTCTAAGTTACACCCGATCAAAGCCATGTTGGGCGTATTGGAACTTGGCTCAATAAAAACAGTTGTTTCAATATTAATTATAAATAAAAATATTTAATAAATAATAATTAAAGTAGTAAATAACATTTAGTATGACATGTTTTAATCTGCAAATTTGCAGCATCTGCAAATTAGAAACAAAGTTATTGACTTAATTAAAAAATATAATATATGTATATATTAAAAATATAATTTTTGTTTTAGGTTAAAACCGAGCGAAGAGAACAAGTCGGCGCATTCAATTTTCAAGAAGCATACGAAACTGGAAAGATTTACCCAAAAGATTGCAGAATGAAGTATCCCATGTGTATTTTTGACGAGTCATTTTTATTCGACATGGTCAAATACTTGTTACGTCATCCGAAATTGCAATTGGATTAGAATACCCACCAAACCAAATAAATAGTGAATTAGATTGTAATTAGTAATATTGGAACGTTAAAGTTTTTTTTAAGATTTTTAAATAGAATAGAGTTGAATATATTACCTTAAAAATATATCCTCAGTCTTTCATCTGCAATATAAAAAAGTAACTCACCATTTTCCTTCTGACATCACACGATCAATATTTTTCGGCAATTTATTCAGCGTTGTTGGGGTTTGGATGAGTAGTAAAATATGATCCCATCAAAACCTATTTATTAAACTACGGTTGCGTCGTAGCTGTACCAGTTTACATTTCTTTTTAGTACCTTGTACATCCAGTTCTGTGGCGATACTTTAAGTGGCAGAGTGTAATTTGAGTAGTAAAATAGAAGAGTTGTTTTAAAACAGTTGCATAAGGTTTCTATAATTGGTTTGAGGCCACCGTCCTAAAACTACTGAATTGCTCGTTATCACAAACCAGTTCAATCGTTAACACTGACACATTTTCCGCCTCCAACAAATTTAATCGTTACTTATCTAAAAAAAAAAACATTACTCAGCAACCAAAAATAAATACCGGCTAAATTATTCCCCTGGCCCTTCAAACTCAAGTTTGCTGCAATAATCCCTAAAATAGCTCCGTCAATCTGATTACACATATGTACACACCACGATGGCTAATTTTCTCCACCAGTATTGAATATTTAAACTGCTTTTTAGGCATAGGTTTAGCCTTATGGACAGCGGTCGTGTACCATACTACACCACTAAGTCAGCACTTTTAAAATTCCATGAGAACAAAGTCGCGGGTACCAGCTAGTTTGTAACAATAAATAAAATTGAAGTGTCTGTTTATGTGAAAATAATAGGTTTTTTCATGCCTACACGGTTTTTTGCACACCTATGCCTACAAACCAGTTTAAATACTTTTCGTGTCTGTTTATTCCGGGTAATCTTCAAAACAGCTGGACCGACTTTAATATTATTATTCTACTAGGTAGCTGTTCATATAAGGGGTAACTTAGGCTATTTTTCCTCTCAGAAAAACCCTATGAAATTTTGCCCGGTCCGGGAATCTAACCTGAGGCCTCGTGGACTGCAGTCAGGTTCAGGACTACACCACTGAGCCAACGCTTTTCAAATTCCACGCGAACGAAGTTGCGGATGCCAACTAGTGTCATAATAAAATAGTAGTAGTGCAATAAAACAGCGATACTCAGATTAAAACATAATTTGATTTAAATTGTAGGATATAGGAGAAAAATAAAGTCCTCTCCCTTTCACAAACTAGCTTAGAGTCCCACAGCCAGTTAGAATTACGCTCGGGTCCTCTTTGCAATAAACATACTAAAACGGAACAGATGTTATCTAATAAACTGAAATGTAGATTTTCTACGCCTTTGCTTTTCAACTGTTTAAAAATTTAATATATTCCCACATTCCGAAAGGTCGCTATTAGTTTCTAAGTATATAGCTGTAAAACAGATTAACGCGAGCAAAGTCACGAGCAAGATTCCTTAAGATCAATTTAGATGATTATTTAATATTAATGTAATGCTCACTTAAAGTCCGAGCTACATTTATCTGTTTTTTTTTTGAAACAATGACTTTTAAATTAAAGCCGACACTATAATGCACTCCTTCTTTCTAAGGAGAGGCCTATGTCCAGCAGTGGACTATTAAAGGCTGTTGATGTGACTATAATGCACTAGTTTTGAACAATCGATTTATATACGGATTATTGTTCTTTTTTTATGTTAGAGGGGGCAGACGACCAGACGGGTCACCTGATGGAAAGTGACCGCCCATGAACGTCTGCAACTCGTCTTTTAGGAAGGAGTACGCTCTTTTCTTGAAGGTTTGACGGTCGTATCGGTCCGGAAATACCGCAGACGATAACCCGTTCCATAGATTGGTTGAATGGGGCAAAAAGTGTCTCGAAAAGCGCACAGTAGTGGAGCGCCAACCATATTGTCGGTCATTGAGTATCTGGTGATCATCTTAGTACCGGAGGAGCTGGCAGTTGATTATGGATTCCATAATCTTAGAGAACAAAGGATTTATGGCTATGGGCCCGTAGTGAGACGTTTCAGAGCGATCACCTTCTTTAGGGATCTGGTGCACAAACGCTACCTTCCAGGAGTTCGGGACGACGCCGTGGGAGTATTGTTGTAGAAGAGGTTCCAGATCGGTAATGCATACTCCAATTGTGAACGAACTAATGATTTATATAGTTGTAAGTAGAAGCAATGCTTTTGAAAGTCGTGAGTAGATCTCATAACGCAGCGCTTCATATAATCGCCCGCCATCTCTCCTTGTTGGCAGACTTTCGGAACCAGTCAGATACGCGGCCTCCCATTGCGGATCTCACCTGGTCGGTCCAGCGCATGGGTGCCTGCTGCAGCATCTCAATATGGCAATATGGCATATGGCATTATGATTAATACCCAAAGTAGAAACCGAGAACTAAAATCGCTGTAATGAGGTAATAAGAGTGCCCTGAATTTAGTTTTGGAATAATTTTATATCGCGGTAGTTTAATAAATTTATAACGATAGTACATAAATTAATTACAAAACGGTGGTGGCAGAGCTTATTTTTGAAAATTTTATAAAACCAAAAATACACGAAACGACAAAAATACTTAAATGAAAACTTCACCGATTTATAGAAAAGTAAGAAACTAACACACCTCTTTTCGTAATTTATTTACACGACTACTATAGGTACTAATAAGTATATATTTTGTGCCTGTAGATGATATATATTCTATGTTTTTCACACAGTTAGTGTTGCATTTAACGCAAATTGAAAGCGCTCAGACCAATATTCTTGCCCCTATTCATCCCCTAATGGAGTCTTTTGTTAGTTCCACCTACACAACGTAGTGTTCTATGAAATGCTCTTGCCAAAGTAATTTAGCATTTATTTAAAAATTTAAATTTAGTGCATGGTTGTGGTGCAATGGCATGGTTAGCCGCAAAAATAAGCAAGTTGCGTTTTTAGAAGTTCAGTTGTTATACTAAATATAAATAGAAGAAAGAAAAATTGAGAGAGTTGGAAAAAATAGAGGAAAGAATTATTGTAAACTAATCGTAAAAAAAAGATAAACATAAAATATACGAGTATATATCATATTCATCAAATTTGGTGACATACAAATGTATATATTTAAGTTTGAATCAAATAAATAATAATACACAGTGTCTAACTATTGTAAGTCAGACTTAGCTTAATACGTAGGCGTACTAAAAGTCTCTGGATCTTACAATAAAAGAATGAAAAAAAAAATGGAATTAAAAAGTGGAACTCTTTGGGAACATATTACTTTTTAATTTGCGAGACTGTCATTTGTTTTTTTCGTTGTGACGTCTTTTCGAAATTGTGGATCGCTTTCAAAATGATTTTAAGTCGTGAACATTTTCGTTTATTGATTTTTTCTGATTTTCGTTGTGGATTAATTCAACAAGAAAGTTGCCAGAGACTTCAATTGGTATTTGGACTTCCATTGGATGAAGCACCATGTCGCAGCTCTGTGTATTCGTGGTTTGGAGAGTAAAGACGTGTACGTAATCATCTCCATGACGAGGTACATGAAGGTCGATCGGCGACACCGTATGACAACTTATTGAAACTGACAAAAAAAAATACTTGCAGCAAATTCGTGCTTTGTTAGGCATTGGAATGAGCCAAGTGCAAAACCTTTTACATGTGCATCTGAAGGTTCGGTAGCTTTGCACTCGATGGATAGCGCATGACTTAACTTTTATAGTAATTTAAGACTGGTCCAGCTTTGTACAGTAGTTTCAGCGAATGCATTAATTACAAGGAAATATCCTTTGAAAGACAATAAATGTATCGTAAGTCTTATATCTAGTCTTGTTTATCAGAATCCAGAATCTTTCAGTATGGCCTAAGTATGTATTTAACATTTTTAACTCATCCTTAACTTTTTTAAAAGCAATATGCATCGGTTACAAACAGTTTTAAAGCTTTGAAAGTTTGACATAGAAAATCCCTACAAGTCAGTAAATTCGTACAGAATTCCATTTTCTATTTCAAACTGAGTTTAGGTAGTTTGGAAATATATTTATTTTAGTTTAGAATACGAATCTGCGTTGAAACAGAAAACGTTTGAAAACTTTTTCTTCCTTTCTGAAGTGCGGTTGAACTTCTAAAAATTAATTGCCCCTGTGTAATGATCGACAACTTATTTGCTACGACTTGAATGGCTTCTAATTAAATGTGTCTAAAATAACTTTACCGTTTGTGATATTCAAAGTTTCTTATAATTTTTGGTAATAAAGTATCAAAAAATGTACATGAAATATTTATTTTTGATTTAGAAATTCGCTGAGATTAATAATTAATTAAGAGATTAAAAATCTTTTTTTTTTTTTGGATATTTATTAAAGCACAAAATAAATTTAATATAAACTCTCGTACGCTTCGTGTCTCTAAAGAGCGAGTAAACATTTGACACACACAGAGAAAATGGAAAGGAACTTAATGTCCAACGGCTGGACTGGAAACTTTTTGACAGTCTACATAAATCAAATATCAATCAATAATTAAGGTTCGACCCCACTTGACCGGAACTTTTATTTTGTTACCTTATTTCTTTTGTGTTATATATAAGAAAATACATTAGGCAACATTTATATAAAATTATTTACGACTAACATTTCCCGCCGCGCCGCTTCACTTACATTTATGTATTTATGTTTTTCGGGAGGAACCCTAATCTTTTATTCAAAATAAAAGTAGTCAGGTATAGTTAAGTTACATTAGGTGTTATAACATTCAGTATCTACCAGTGAACGTCTTGAGGTAGTATTGTGATTCCGTCGCCCGGCAATTATCCGATACACCTTGGACAAAAGACACGCGACAGAAAATAGTCGTCGAGACAGACAGTCGATATGGCGT